CAGTAGAGGGAAATTTTAAAAATGTTAACATTTGTGATCTATTAACAAACCAATCCTGCATAAAGGAAAAGAAAAAAATATTGTTGTGTGGAATCTGACCTTTAAGTCTGTTCTGAGAGTTTATTTTCTGTCTATTTTTTCAGTATATCACCAACACTATCATCGACATCATCCACATCTCCTGTTGTTACACCTCAGTCAACTACTGTGTCTGCTGAGAGTTTAGGTAAGAGAGCACGTTAAATGTCTTAAACTTTCTGCTGCAGAACAGCCAGATTAGTAGGAGTGTTTTAAAAACATTTTTAAAATTCAATTTCTGTAAATGTCCTCTTCACTTCCTCAACATAGACAACTGTGGATGGTAATAACGTGTACTGAATGTGTTTTAAACAAGTGTAGATTTTTATTTTGTTGTCTGGTTGATCTTGCAGGTGGCTCTTAGGTCGTCATTACTGTGATCGTCTGTGTAGCCCTGCTGCTGCTGCTGCTGTTTGTGCTGATGTTAATCCTAATCTATAAACGTAAGAGTTATTACCAGCTTGCAGAAGAAACACGCACATTTTGTACACAGAAAACCACATTTAAAACAGCTCCACCCTGTGAGGAGGTGATGACTAAAAAAACCAAAGCAGACATAATGTGGTGACTTGAATTTAAACCTCTTTGGTCTGGAAGTTTATGTCTTTTCTAGCTTTCATCTTTGCTCATTTCTGGTAATAAACAGTGGCAGTTAAGTCCTGATATAAGAAACCACACTGGAAAATACTAAATCAAGACAGCAACTTACCTGGACAGTACAGGTAGATTATGTAGATACGGTGTATGAATTTGATAAAAGGAGATGAAATTAATTAACTTTATGGTAGCTTGCTTTTCATTTTCTTCCTGGTAGGATTTTCAACTTCAAAGAACACAAGAAATGGAGCAGCAGCACATAACATCAAAGAGGTCAGTGTACAAATGAATATATCTGCATTTTGTGGTACTTTGTTGGTGGAATAGATTTTGCTGGAAAAACTGTGCAGTAGCTTGATTACTCATCTCTGAATGATGTCAGATATTTAAGTATTTAGGTTACATAAGAAAGAACTTCTAAAAGTGTTGTGAGATGATACAGTAGGGCTGTAAGGATTTACATAGTCGAAACCTGCATATAGTTGACTGATAGTCGAATCATGTGTGTTTTTGTGCGAGGCGATTGTGAGCGGGGCCAGCTCCGCATATTTTGACCGAAAGTCAACTGCGGACAACTCGGCACAACACCAGGGAAGACTCTCTTCAGCATGTGCTCCTCTTCTGCTACTACATACACGCTACGCCTACACATGCGCAGGTTGCCCAGGTTTAGGATTACAATCTGTGATTTATTCATGCGCTTTAAAAACATTTATTGAACGTTTTTTTCTTTTTACATGTTTATTTACTGCATTAAACATTGAAATGTATTGTAATAGGCTGTATATTAACTTGGCAGAAAACTGGTAGTTCTATGTAAAATCAGATGTTGAGCACCCCCATATCAACAAAATTATTTCACTGCGAAGCTTAGACTGTGAGATAGACAGTCAAATCAGTCTCCGTCCATCAAAGCATCAAATCTTTGACTCTTCGGGGTCAGCCCTAGTTTACAGTAATTGACAAAAAGAATATCAATAAATATTGGCCAACCATGACGCTGCATTTTCACTCTTGCATGCATACATGCATATAATCAAGATTTTGAATTGTAGGGTATTATTTGTTGGAAACACCTCTAGTTTATACAGGACCGATTTATCAGCAGGGCAATATTATCAGCAGATATAAGCTAACTGCATTTAAATTGGAATCTGCATTCATAACAGCCGATTAATGACTAGTGAACAAGAAACAGAGAGACAGATCTTTCAGTCATGATATGAGTGTTGAATAGTTTCACCAGAGGGTGCCACCAATCCACCACAAAACAAACTGAACTCCAAACTGAATGTCAGAATGGGAAAGAAAGGTGATTTAAGCAATTTTGAGCGTGGCATGATTGTTGGTGCCAGACGGAGTATTTCACAATCTGCTCAGTTACTGGGATTTTCACGCTCAACCATTTCTAGGGTTTACAAAGAATGGTGTGAAAAGGGAAAAACATCCAGTATGCGGCAGTCCTGTGGGCGAAAATGCCTTGTTGATGCTAGAGGTCAGAGGAGAATGGGCCGACTGATTCAAGCTGAGATTCAAGAGCAACTTTGACTGAAATAACCACTCGTTACAACCGAGGTATGCAGCAAAGCATTTGTGAAGCCACAACACGCACAACCTTGAGGCGGATGGGCTACAACAGCAGAAGACCCCACCGGGTACCACTCATTTCCACTACAAATAGGAAAAAGAGACTACAATTTGCAAGAGCTCACCAAAATTGGACAGTTGAAGACTGGAAAAATGTTGCCTGGTCTGATGAGTCTCGATTTCTGTTGAGACATTCAGATGGTAGAGTCAGAATTTGGCGTAAACAGAATGAGAACATGGATCCATCATGCCTTGTTACCACTGTGCAGGCTGCTGGTGGTGGTGTAATGGTGTGGGGGATGTTTTCTTGGCACACTTTAGGCCCCTTAGTGCCAATTGGGCATCGTTTAAATGCCACGGCCTACCTGAGCATTGTTTCTGACCATGTCCATCCCTTTATGGCCACCATGTACCCATCCTCTGATGGCTACTTCCAGCAGGATAATGCACCATGTCACAAAGCTCCAATCATTTCAAACTGGTTTCTTGAACATGACAATGAGTTCACTGTACTAAAATGGCCCCCACAGTCACCAGATCTCAACCCAATAGAGCATCTTTGGGATGTGGTGGAACGGGAGCTTCGTGCCCTGGATGTGCATCCCACAAATCTCCATCAACTGCAAGATGCTATCCATCAATATGGGCCAACATTTCTAAAGAATGCTTTCAGCACCTTGTTGAATCAATGCCACGTAGAATTAAGGCAGTTCTGAAGGCGAAAGGGGGTCAAACACAGTATTAGTATGGTGTTCCTAATAATCCTTTAGGTGAGTGTATAAGCTACTTCATTGTCGTCACGTAAAGGCAGCCCTTTTTCACTTAAAAACTTTATGAAAGACACAACCCTTCCGCTCTTCCCACCAGCACAGCTTCTCTCCCTTCAGCTGCTGCACCTTTAGGTTCACAGTCCTGCTCCAGTGACAGATGAGCACCAAATGCTAACATAATAACAGAAAAAACACAAAAATATTACCTGTTCATGGTGAATAGGGGATCCACTCTCTGTAAACTTTTTACACATTTAGGAGTTGACAACACAGCAGATCATCAGTGAGGTAACTTCGCACACCTTACTGTTATGTCCGTTATGAAAGGCAGCCGGTCCATGGTCGGCGCGAGCATCTTTGTTGATTGCCCCCCACAACACCGGGTCAGACAGCTGATAAATCCACTGTGTGCTGCTTCAGCTGCACTGCTGCTACAGCCTGAGGTTGCTACAGATAGCCTCAGGTTGTGCTCCGCTGCTAACACCAGTCTCCTGCGGTTAAATTGCTCATCAACTTCCACAACTTCTGATTCTCCTCCTGGCTCCTTTATAGATGGCACATCAATAAAGAGCCTCCCGCCACCTCTTCTCCGTTTCGTTTGCATTTACTACAACGACGTCTCTCACTCAGTTTGAACTAGGCCTACGACAAATATCCCCACAGTCCACTTGATCAGCTTTCGGTTATTTGATGACTAACGTAAGGGTGGGTTGTTACGTTCTTTGCACAATGGGGACTGACCAATGATATAATTCAGTTTAAATTAAAAAATATCAGCATGCTCTTATTGGTTATACATGTTTTCAATATCTGAAATGTAAACAATAAAAAAGGAAAGGAAAAAACATTCTTCTTCCCCTCCTTGGGCCCTGCTTGGGCCCCAGAATGCCCATTGGATAAGGAGATACAGCAGCATGTCCAGAGGCCAGACTCAGGAAATGAGGCGAGTGCCAGCTTTCCCACAAACCCCTCTGCCTCGCTGTATTACTCTACCGTCTACTTTCAAAACAGCATTGGTTGTGAGGCACTGATCGTCAAACCCGGCTCTGATGCCTGTGAATATTCAACTGTGACGTACAGGATTCACTCTTCATCCACATTGTTTGAGTCACCAAGGTTTAAGACTTTGGGACGGATCTGTAATGACTAGATGAGTCTTTTTGTTTGTCTTTGCTCCTGAAGCTTGTAAACTGTTTAAATCCATATTACAGCTGATTATTATCCACTGATTTAACAAGAAATGTTTGAAGAAATATGCTTGATGTTTTAACTTTTACCATTTCGTAGATTGTCCACCAGCAACTGCTCGGATGGCAACGTTGGTCTGTCGGTTGGTCAGTTCATCAGTGGATGAACTGTCATAAAAATTTGGACATTAATTGATACCAGATGATGAATGCTAATGACTTTAAGGATCCCCTGACTTTTCCTCCAAAGCCCCGATGAGGTTGAAATTTCTGGTTTAGAGTGAAATATCTCAACGACTCTTGGATGGATCATTCTTCCCTGGTGTCTCGTCTGGATTAATGCTCCTTGGATATCTGATTTATTATTCCATGGACTAACACTAACATAATAAACTCTGATTTACTCGCAGTAACTCTTACTTGTTTTACTCAAATCAGACCATGTCACCAATATTTTGAATTCATAATGTCAATACCTAGAAGGTAAATACAGTAGATCACTAACCCCACAATAACCAATGAATAACACAAGCAGCTATTTAGTGAACTATGTATGCCTCATTTTCCATTAGGAAGAATGGGACATAGCCAAAAGTACAAGATAGACCAAATTTGTTCATGAACAAGACTCACTTAAACACTGAGCCGGAGATCTACTGGCAAAGCTAATATTAATATAAAAAAACTGGAGTGACAGAAAGAGGAAGACGCTGTGTGGATAACATGTCAGGAAACAGGTCTGTACAAAAACAGCAGATCAACCAACCAATGAAAACAGGAACCGACAAAATCAACTGGAGTTAAATAGTTTTTCAGCCTTTCTTTCAGTAGATTTCAACATCCAAGATCAACAAAATGAGGAGCTTTCTTCTTCTCCTCTTCTCACTAATGACAGGTAAAAAGATTTCTGCTGCCTGATTCCTGATATTAGAGATTTTATAGAAAACTGTTACAGCCTCTTAAGAAATGAACCACTTTCAATACATCCTGTGGTGTGGATTCAGCTACAATTGTTGTACTTGTTTACTTTAACAAAGGTCACAAAAGTTGTTCTGGTTCACAAAGTAAAACTAACAGGGTCAAATAACTGTCTTCTAAATTTAATACTAATTTAAACATATTGATTGCTTCTCTAATTCATCCAACACCAAGATGCAACATATAGTGTGTTAATAAAAGGTAACTGCACAGGTAGTTGTTGTTTTCTTGTGAATATGCAGCTTTCAGAGCTGATGTTTTGAATTTGATACAACATCCAGTCTTTTATTGAAAAAATCTGGCAAAAAAACTTTGCGTACAGGAAATAATGCTCTTCTAATTCATTCCTGTTGAATAAGACGTACATGTTTGGTTTCTAAAACGCGGAGAGAACACAAGCAGAAGTGAAAGTAATGTAGTGATCACAGCTGTCACCCTGTTTATTTTCTGTATATAATGTTATGGCAAAATTATGAGTGATTGAATGATTCATTGTTGTCACCTAAAATAAATCATCAATAATTGATTAGTCAGTTTAATTCTTTTTTTAAGAAAACAAGTCAAAATGTTCTGACACCAGCTTCTTAAATGTGAATACAACTGAAAACTGAATATCTGTGGGTTGTGGACAAAATAAGATATTGTGCTTTGGTAAAAAAAGTTAATCAAAATTTCTTTTTACCATTTTCTGATATTTTATAAACCACATTGAATGACTATATTAAACAATACCTGTTTTAATATTATCACTTCACATCAACCTCATAATCGTTCCCTTTTCTCTTTATGAGCAATAGCCAAAATCACAATAACCAGGACATCATAATACACCATTTAATGTATGAATACTCTTGTTCCGCAGACACCAGGGATGCACTTTCAAAAAGGATGAGGAAGGTAATTGTCCAAATCGAAAGTCCAAAATAGAAAAGTTAATAATAAAGTAATATAATGCAAATGGTACAATCAACATTTTTTAAATACCTCAACGACTCAACAATTCCGGGATTTCTCTGTCATTCGGCAGGTTTCAGTGAAAAGGGCCTCACAGATGCAGACATCTACAGTCTTAAAACTTAAGTACAGACTGATTTTACTGTTGTATCTGAAACAGGTCCTTTCCCCACAGTGTCACCCAGCGTCTGACGGGCACAGGGTGCTTGTTAAGTCTCTTAATTGCATCCACGTTTCTCTCACCTGCATCTTTTCCTTGCGTCTTAAGTGCAATTTATACTTCTGCGTCAAATCGCCGTCGCCTGACGTGCACCTCCTCAAAAATGTAACTACTCGTCGAGTCGACACGGACCGTAAGCTCTGTGATTGGTCAGCTGGGTAGCCTCGCGATGCCTTCGAGCCGACCGGAAGTACCCCACGCTTTTAAGTAACATTTACTAGCGGCCAAAACGGCAGCTGTAACACAGTGAATCAATATATTTGACAGTTGCAACCCGAGCGACATGACTCATTTCACTATCAGAATGTGATCCATTCGGTCGGTAACATTTGAAAAGGCTACACGAGCCGCACGTTTACAATTTTTCCCCCATTTACGTTAGCGGAGCGCTAAACCGGAAATTAGCCTGCTCGGCTGGCTAATGTCAACACAGTGGATGCTGTAGCGCTGCTGCCGACTAGTGTTTGGGGGTGTAATTGCAGAATGACGGACAGACCTACGCACAAGTATAAATGCGCCTTTAGTCCTGCAGGGCCTTTCTCATTTCCAGAATTTCTGCCTCCTTACCTCCTCGATCCTCAACTACTTGCGGCGCATCTTAGTCCCTCCCACCCAAGATGTGAGCTCGAGGAGTTGAGGAGGAGACGCGAGGAGAGAGGAGTCCAGGAAACAGGCATTTAATGAAATGAGATGTCCTTTCCTCAGAGCCATCATTTTAAAGTGACGTTAATTACATATGACCTGTTGCGTAGCTGCATCAGAGCTGTTTTTAGCATTAAACACTTAATTTTCTGCATTCTGGTGAAAGTTTCTACACCAATTCTTGCCTTTTCTGCATCAGTTTACGGAGGAAATGTTTTTATCTAGGCTATGGCAAAGGAATCACAAAACTCAGGCAACAGGTAACTATTTAAAATATAAATATACCAGAATATAATTCAGCCTTTGCCTGGCTTTCAAGCATTCTATATTTATTTTTCTTTCATGATTTAGTCTTCCCTCTTAGTTGTGTCTTTGTTTGGGGAAGTTCCCCTTTAAATGTGGCTCCTTTTCACCTCAAGGATAAATTAATTCAGTTTGAAACTTCTGGACTGAACGTTCAAAACTTTATGCATCTATCCCACATATCTGTGTAATCAGAAAGATTTCTATGAGAATAACGTCATCATTTAATAACAATTCACAATTATTTTTTTTAAATCTCTCCGCCCTATAATCTGCTGTTCATGAATCTCAGACAAACACAGAACCAGTTTGGGACTGTATAGATGAGACCTGTGCAAAACCAAACTAACTGAAAACACAGATCTCACGTTATCTCACGCAGCTCTGTGCAGCTCACATTCCCAACAGAGCAAGGCTATAGATTATACATTTTTATATTGCAAAACTTGACCAGTTACGTTACCCGATCACAAACTGTCAGCCACTCAGTGTGCGAGACCGTGTTCGCTTGATTCCTGTCACAGCGTCCGTCGGTGTCGCATCAGCTGGGTCATTGTAATCGCGCAGAGTCGACGCTATCAGTTATAGGCTACGTTAGTTTTTCCAATGCCTGAGAAAATTGATGTGTGGCGTGTGAAAAGTGTCAATTGCATTGAGTTGGCAGCTCTGCTGATTTCAATAGCTGATAGCCTGTTATAACGTCCTGTGGTTGCTGGGCCCCCGAGGGGTGTGGCCCCTGCTGCGGCCGGTCGTCATGTATACAGTCACTGACTTAGGTTTAGGTACTAACATTTCTGATGGTTATGTTAAGTGTAGGGGGCTTCGGGGGGATGTCAACACCTTTAACAAGAACGTAGCTAACTTCCTCATACGTCTCTCATAGAGACGCTGAAAGGTACCTTTGGCGTCAACTTACTACGTTTTGTCACTTTTTCTGAAATCGTTGGTGTTGGACGCCCTGAGATGAGAACGGTCTGGGATTTTCAGTCCGAGTGTTGTGTGTTCGGTCCCTCCTTGCGCAAACATATATAACTATGAAGAAACTGCTGCATCAAACATACTCACAGTGAAGCATGTGCTGCAGTGTGTGCGTCCCAGCTTGGAAGCTTATTTTCATTTCCCCATCATCTCCAGGCAGAGAAAGTGCCTGCACTTCTTAATCAGGGGGATTCAATCACACGTTTCCTGATGACTATTTCAGAGGTGTGTTAAGCACGCCATAAACTGTTTTTAATGTCTTTCAGAACGTTTCAAAGTAAAAGCCGTCAATTTATCTTGAAATAAAGCATTGCTGCAAAAAACTTTCTTGCACTTTTATTTTACAGGCACAGTCACTTAAAGGGGCATTATGAAGTTTTCAGCAGCCACTAGTGGTGTGGTTATAAGATTGTAACCAGGTGTGTGCTCGTACGCGTCCAAATCCAAAACACAACCGCTTTTATACAGAAATCCTGCAATGAATGCAGAAACACTAGCATGCAGGCTGTGGCTTTTCTCCAGACAGGCTCTGTTACTTCAAAGTTCCCAGCTCAGTGGCAGCTCAACACCAGCTCAGTAAGTTACCTTTCATACAGTGGCGCAATGTGAGAATGGCTATAGAGAGACAGGGAGACATCACAACATGCTGGGAACTCCCAACACCCTGTTCCAGTAATATTTTTATCAGTTCAACTAATCCATGCTCGTTGCATGATAATGTTACATTTACTGCGTTTAACCAGCATGCTACATTATTAGCTTGCCTGCTGCTTTTCAGTAACTATATTTACTATCTGTGTACTTACTATTGAACCTTATGAAGCAAACAGCGGCAGGTCCGCATGGAAAGAATCAAAACTGAAAATAAAGTTCTGAAAGGCTGTGTTTGAAAACTCAAAATCTTACCAAAAAAAAGTTTTGCAAGAATGAAAAGTAAGATTTGCAGGCTTGCTAAATGTTTTTAAAAAATAAAATCTCTGCAAACATTATGTTGTTTTTGAGTTTTCACAGAGGAAAACCTTTCAGAATTTTATTTTCAGTTTTGATAAATGGCAGGATAGTCTTCCCATATGTCCGAGCTAATGTAACGTAGTGTGGCTGGCTGCCCCGTCTGTCTCACTATAGGCTACAAATCGCTCCAGATTTGCTTTTCTCTGTTGCATCATTTCTTGCAGGCTAAATCAACACTTTGACATAATGTCGAAGTGGTTCAAAGGACAGTAATATCGGCCGCGTTAGTTGTGTAGTAGTGAACTAATGTGGAAAGCCGACCCGGTGTCCTCACATTAAAAGCAGAATAGTGGCTGATGCAAGCAACAGAGACAACAGGCATGTGCATCTTTTTTAAGTGAATTTTGAGCCCACTGACAATAAGGCAATGAAAATTACTTTATTTATTAATAAGTAATTGCCCATTTAAGAGGAAGTGATTGTATGAGTAACTGTTTCAGCATCAGCCGCTATGAAAGTGAAATTTATTTATTTATTAAATTTGGCCTGCAGGCTGCCTATTGCTGACCACTTTTTGTGAAACCAAAAAAGTGCAGGGAGGCGACACATCGGCCCCTATGAACTGGTACTGCGCTAGTATATATAAATTATAAGAACGCAATGCAAATCTAATGAATCAAATGGGATTCCAAAACTTATTCTTTGAGTTTTTTATGTGTAGAGGCACATATCAATCAAAACATTGTTGGTAAAAGATTTAATTCAGCTTTCATACATGTTAAGTTTGGTGTCATTATTCAAATAACCAAAATGGAAATTAATCTGCTGGAAAGATAAAAATTTCAGTAAAATCAGATGTAACATGATTCAAACTTTACCATGACAGTGACGATAGGCACTGAAAGTCTAATATGTTGCATTGATAGAGAGCTAATTAATCGTTTCAGTGTCTGACATAATGAGGACCTTTGCCTTTGATCTACAGGTTGTGAGGCCCGAACTGTAGTGAGGGGATGCCCACAAGGATGGGTTGAATTCACCTGGAAATATCCAAAACCAAATGGAAAACATCAAAGTATTGATGTAGTTACTCCCAAAGGAACTATACGATGCACTAAAAAGGGTGTGTGGGGAAAGAAAACAGTTTTCCTGGGCCATGAAACAAAACAAAAATATCTCAGGGTGGTTATGAATCAACTTGAAAAGAAGGACCTTGGGAAGTACAAGTGTGAAGTACAACCTGACTTATTCCATTACGCAGAGGAAGTGGAATTAGCCTTTGGTAAGAGACACTCACTTTTTATTTAAGTCCATTCATTGGACCCAGTGTTTTTACATAACATAATTAAAATATATATAAATTATAAGGATCCCATATAAATCTAATGAGATTTTAGAAACATATTATCTGCTTGTTTTTGTTGTGTATAGATGCGCATATCAATCAATACATTCTTAACAGATTCAATTCAGCTTTCATAAGTTTGGTGTCATTATTCCAAATTTCCATAGTATTTGACTCCAATTCCACATTCAGTAAAGTCACTTTCTATTTTAAGTCATCATCTACTTAGATAACCAAGAATGGAGATCAAATTGCGAGTGATTGTGGTGATGTTGCAGGACATGCACTTCCATCACGTGTTAGCACAGTGTCAGTGTTAGATTTCACATTTTAACTTTCTTTTTTATTTGCAGAGACATACGGCTGCCAGAATCAATTTAATCAAACTGTGTACAGAACAGCTAAAACCACCATCACATGTGATTACACAAGAAACAAATACAAGTTCTTCTGCAAACAGAACGGTTCAATCTGTGAGGATATTTTATCAACAAAATCCCCTCTGAAGTCAAACGGGACATTCACTCTCACAGAAACCAACAGTAGCTTCAGCGTGTCCATCAGTAACGTGTCCTCACATGATGCTGGTGTCTACTGGTGTGGAGTGGAAACACATGAAGGAAGTTACAGAACTGCTCTCAGAAAGATACAGCTGGAGGTTAAAGGTGAGCAGCACACATCTGACACTGTTTAGTTTTGATTTACTCCAGATGACTAAGGTGTCTCTGAAAATTGTTGTTAAATACAATCACTGAAGTGCTGCTTGTCTTTCTTTCTACAGCTACTATTACCAGATTCACAAAGTCTCCAACTGTAGGACAGAATCTCACATACTATTGTCTAAATCAAAATCATGCTCCGACAAACATATTCATCTGTAAGGGAGAAGATCCATCTATATGTCGACCTCTAGTAAGCACAGCACAGCCCAACAAGAACACTGGGAAGTTTTCCATGGAGGACAAAAACAAGAGAAATATCACCATAACAGTGAGAGAAGTAACAATGAATGACACTGGGACATACTGGTGTGGAGCAGAAAGCACTGACAAAACACGCAGCAACAAATTCTTCCACAAAATGGTGATGACTGTAGGTGAGTGATGCTATTTTATTGTGTGGATGTAATCTGACCCTGGTTCAGATTGTAGGAGGATTACTGATGGATGACAAGCATGAAAAGAAAGCTATAGTAATTATTGATTAATGCTGGACTTTTATTTCATCTTATAAAGTTCCATTTAGCTGCTTCAGTTTCAGGGTCCTGATATTGTTCATGCTGGCTCACTGTCATGACTTACTGGGGCACTAAGAGAATGAGGCAGTCGTTAATGTAACACCTGTGCTTTTCCTGAGATCAGACAGACATTTCACTCACTGTAACATGAAACATGTCTTCATGGTTTCAGTTAAAAACTGAGTTAAAATTTTAACAATCCAGGCAAGAGCATCCTATTAGACCTGTTCTATTAAATACTAAATATCACTATGATGATTATTTTGGTCAATATTGAGATCACAATCAACACAATTAGTCATTGACTTTAGAAATATTGACCTTTTTAAAACAAAATTAAACAGTGGATTTCCTTGAAGTTTAAATACAACTCATCTGAAAAACAAAAAAGTAATACGTTCAGTGACTTCAAGGGCTTCACCGTGTCCTGTCTTCTGTTTTCTCAGTATTGAACTGCTTGGTGACCAGCGACACACTGTCTGATCTGAGCATGATATACATTATTATTTGCACAAGTTTTTGGGACTGCTACAGTGTGTAATGATCGTGTAACAGCTTAATTTTACCTTTCTTATTGACCAAAAGCTCTCTGCCCATCATCTTGGCCCGCGCTGAACATATAGGCCACACTGGATTAATTATACAAGTCAAAACAAGAGCATCATTGCAAAACAGAATGCAATAATTTTATCTTGATTATCTTGTTTTTATTGGAAGCCAAAATCACAGTTGAAATTAGCAGAAGAAATCAGACCCTTCATACTTTATCTGAAGAAGCAAACTGTTCTCATTAAATTCTGTAATTTGTTTTGTAAAATAAGCCACTAGATAGTCAGCTGTGATATCCGGTTACTGACTGATTCAGTCTGTAACGACATCACCTGATGTTGCTATTTATGCTCCTGTTTTCACTTCCTGCACATGTTCAGAGCAGCAGCTGCAGTTATGTGACATCAGAACTGTATCAGCAACAACGAAAACCCTCAACAACTGATCACTTTTATCACCACAATTAGTTGTTGAGTGTTTCACTATGCATGTTTTATAATTCAGCCTTTAAGGGTAGGTTTGTCATTTTTAAGTCTTAAAACAGTACCTATGTTGCTGGATGTACGTTGACAGTGTTACTGTTCACTGTAATTGTGATCCATTTTTGCCGTGAAGTGAATTCTGTCAGAAAGCCAAAAAGAGCATTTCCCAGAATGTCAAACTGTTTATTTCAAAGGCTGTTACACATTAATAGCAGATGTTTTGAACTGTCACAGCAGGAAGAGCACTGGTGTTAATAACATTAATGATTCCATTCTTTTCAAGTGTCCCAGTAAGTCATAAAAGTGAGTCAGCATGAAAAAGTTTTTTTCCTGTATTTTAAGTCAAAAGTTAAACTTTCATGTATTCTAGATTAATTTTATATAAAGTGATAAGTTTCAGGCCTTTCTTTGTTTTTATTTTGATGAATACAGCTTATAGTTCATGGAAATAAAAAATCCATAACTCAAAATATTAGAATATCAGTATAAAGAATATAAAATACACAAATCTAGACCTTCTGAAAAGTTGAACAGTTCAGAAAATGTCCATTTATCCGCTCAATGCTTGGTCAGGGCACCTTCTGCATGAATTACTACATCAATGCAGCGTAGCATGGAGGTAATCAGCGTGTGGCCCTGCTGAGGTGTGATGGAGGCCCAGGTTTCTTTGATAGCAGCCTTCAGCCTGTCTGTATTGTTGGTCTGGAGTCTCTCATTTTCCTCTTGACGGTAGCCCATAGATTCTCTATGTGATTCAGGTCAGGCGATTTGCCTGGCCAATCAAGCACAGTAATGATGACCATGGTCATCTAACCTTGGTTGAGTTCGTCTGGCAAGCCTATAACACAGAGCCCACTAAAAACGTCTTCTTGATAATTGATTTTTCAGTATCACCAGCAGTATCACAGACATCATCCACATTTCCTGTTTCTTCAACCCAGTCAACTACTGTGTCTGCTGAGAGTCGTGGTAGGAGAGCACACTTGATATCTTAAACCTTCTGCTGCAGAAGAGCAAGAGATGAGAGGAGAAATGTTTAAAAATCTTCTAAAATGTCCACTTAAATTCCTCAACACAGCTTTGGGTGATGATGACCAATGTTGAGTAATTTTTAAACAAGTAAAGGGCTGTTATACAATAGACCGCATTCACAGCAAAGGCTTTAACTTGTCACAGAAGAAAAGCACAAGTGTAAATGAAATTAACGACGGCAAGCGAAAGTCATGACAGTGAACAACACCAGGACCCTGAAACCAAAGCAGCTAAATGAACTCATTCATTTAATTATTTCACCTGTGCTTTTCCTATTGTTACGTGTTAAAATGTTTATGTTCAGTAAAGTGGTATTGGCACACATTCACTAAACTTATTTTTTTGATGTATTCGTTATTTATTTTCCAAGAGTCAGAAAATGAAACTGGAGGCCAAATTTTTGTGCTAGAGGTGGATCAATAACAAACCAAAGATAAAAGAAAATTAAGATTGTTGTGTGGAATCTGACCTCCAAGTCTGGTCTAAGATTTTTTTTGTCTATTTGTCTATTTTCTTTTGTTTTTGTCAGTATCATTAACAGAATCAACAACATCATCCACATCTCCTGTTTCTTCAACCCAGCCAACTACTGTGTCTGCTGAGAGTCGTGGTAAGAGAGCACTTGATATTTTAAACCTTCTGCAGCAGAAGAGAAACTTTTTTAAAATTAATTTTCTGTAAATGTCTTCTTAAATTCCTCAACACAGATAGATCTGGATGATAACTTTCCATGTTGACTGTGTTTAAAAAGCAAATACATTATGCTTTATCTTGCAGGTGACTCTCAGGTCGTCATTACTATGATCGTCTGTGTAGCTGTGCTGCTGCTGTTGTTTGTGCTAATGTTGATCCTTATCTACAAACGTAAGAGCTATTATCAGTTTGTAGAAGATACACGCACATATTGTACACAGAAAACACATTCTCAACAGGTACATCCTGTGTAGGGGTTGTAGCATATCTACCTATAATTTTTAATACAAATGATGAATATTAATATTTCAGAAATATTAATTCATAAATCCTGGTTAGGGCACCACCGGAAATTCAGTTCGCCCAGGGTCTCCAGACTCCCTAGGTAATGTTAGGGGTTTAATAATTACAATTACAATTATTCCTAGTGATCAGTTAGTTGTAATTGCAGTCAATCTCATATCAAAGGACGTAAATCCTCCGTTACAGTGACCTGGAGCTAAACAATACACACACACAGTTCCTGAGATTACGGTGAAATTTATTAACTAACTAAAAGGTGGATGTAAATGTGGTTAAATATACATCAAAGAAATAATCAATGGCTAAACAAACATGATGCAAACAATGAGAGTGATGGGTTCAAGGTGAAGTCTGATAAATTTGAACAAACAAAGAAAACATAAAGCATGCGTGTCAGCGTGTTTTTTTGTCTAGGGCGTGTCTCAGGAGGAGGGCTTTGTTCCCCTGAGAGAGGCTGTCCCTTAACTTTATGTCTATTTGTGCGTATTTTAATCAAATATCTTCCCACAATCAAACCTTAAACGTCAAACAGTTACACCGCTCTTAGTTTTAAGCATTCGATAAAAAGGAAAGGAAAGTTACTTCTTACGTCTCAGTCATCCAGGTCATAGTTATCTTATTAATATTAGAATGGTTACCAGTTAAACACATTTTCAGGATTTCAGAATGAAAGAGACTTCACTCAATATTTCCTGGATAATATTGTTTGTTTCACATTCTTACTTAGAGAATACAAGCAAGTTACACAAACATGGCATCAGATTACGAACAAATAAGTACAGAGTTACACAGCAGAAGCTGCATTTCAGAACGATAGCATGTAATACTTAGTTTGTCCTCTTGGGGGAACTCTGGTTCCATGAGGAGACTGAAGATTATTTCTTTAAAACAATCATTTGCTCAGGAGCTGGGGAAATTAGTTATTTAACATTAAATTCGAGCTGGAAAATTAATCAAGTAGCACAGGATAACATTTCTGTATCATATCATTTCTAAAGAAAGGTTCAGAAAGTGTTGGGAATAAAGCATTAGTATAAACATCAAACAGACAGTCAGGAATGAAAGGAGCATCAGAGGAATGGATTAAGAGCACTGAAAATTTACTTCCTTGTGGTTCTTTTAGCTTTCAGACATAGTACTTAGAGAATAACGACATAGTAATTACTACTAGAATATAAGAGGCAAGCGCCACTACTAACTTAGCAAAGATTATTTAACTCAGCAGGTAATAGGCAAGTTATAAGGAGACAGTATTTATTTGTCTACACAAAGGAATTGAACACTTAAGGTCAGGCTGTCTGTTCAGGGTTGATATCTCAGCCCCCCTCCTCTTTCTCTCAGGGAGAGACAAAAAGGAATTTGGCATCTCCAAATTTATTTGATATAAAATGATCAAATCCACACTAGCTGTTCACTACAGGGTGATGAATAAAAAGTCCAAAGAAGACGTTAGGAGTGACTTGACATGGCATTTTTTTTTTTGTGATTGGAAGTTGATGTTTTTTTCTTTCATCTTTACTCATTTCTGATGATAAACAGTCCTATTCGGTGAAACCACACAATGTCCAGAGTGTAACCTACCTGGACAATACAGGTAGATTAGGTAGATTAAGAGACTGTGTAGAGTTTGATGAAAAGTGGTGAAATGAATCCACTTTTCTGTCCTTCCATTTGTTGATTTCTTTTTTGTTCTCTTCCTTTTCTTTCTGCCAGGATTTTCACATTTAATGAACACAAGAAAAGGAGCAGCAGCACAGAACATCAGAGAGGTCAGTGTATAAATGAATGTCTCAGTGTGTGGTGGTACTTTATAGGTGGAATTTAAATAGCTGAGAGAAATTGCGCAATAGCTGGATTACCCATCTCAAGTCTTGGAGTCTTGGCTAAAGAAAAAAATAATGTAAATAAATATTGGCCAATAGTGACGCAGCATTTTCACTCATGCAGTGACAGAACCTTGTTTTCAGGTGCACAACGATTCAGTTGTTAAACCGTGAAAACACATTACAATTTATCAGAAGCTGGTGTGGTACTGGGACAACTAACACAGCTAATTTGTCTTTGTTTTTTTTTTGTTTTTTTTAATTAAATCAGTTGGCTTTGTACGAACCTGTGCTGATGTTTGAACTAGTTTGTAAAACCAAATGACACCACAGTAAAATTAGAGGTCCTGGATTTAATCCTTCCTACTATTAACCTGTTTGTAATTTAACCAACAATGTTGAGCTCATTTTGAATGGGGAGAGTTTATTGTTAGGATTCAAAATAATGTGTTCAGACTGTATTTTTCACTTTTCCCTGGTAGGATTATGTCTACGAAGAGATACAGCAGCCCGTCCAGACTCCAGACTCAGGAAATAAGATGAACACGATTTATGCCACTGCCAACTTTCCCACAAACCCCTCTGCCTCGCTGCATTACTCTACCGTCAACTTCCAAAGCAGCTGTGACAGAGCTGGTGGTGAGGCAGTGATCCTCAAACCCAGCTCTGCTGCCGGCGAATATTCTACTGTGAAGCAAAGTGCAACCTACTCTACTGTCAACCAGCCGTCCAGCTCTTCAGAGGATCCTCTCTACGCAACAGTCAACAAGCTACAGCAGCACTGAGCAAAGATCAGCAGTCTCAGGAACAGGAGGAAGCATATATATTTTTCTTTAAATTCAAATTGAAATATACAATGTGTCTCTATAGAGTTGTGTAATTATTTGTTAATCTACTAAGTTTGGTGTTATTCTTGTTAAAAACAACTAAGATAGTTATTCTTATATATTCCACTTTTTAACAACAGATTTAACCAATGTCATATTTATATAAAAATGGTGGGGGGGGGGCACCAACCATTTTAAAACATAAATACCTGTAAAATTACAAAACTCTCTCTTGCTTCTGTGTTTTTTAACATCAACAAACAGCATGGCTCCACAAAACACAGACAGCGAGAGAGAGAGAGAGGAGTGCAGTGACACAAGTTACAGTACCACCGTCACAAACCTAGATTGAGAATGCAATCTTTAAGCTGACACAACCAAGCTCAGAACAAATGAGCCTACAGGGCCAAAAGCAAAGAGTAGTGAGCTCACCACCAATGAAGTCAACGACGCGCACAGACAACATTTTAGGGATCCAGAGGCTTTCTATAGCCACTTTCCACAGAGATCCTGCAATCAAAACGGAAAGAATGTCGGCCAATATATATCCCATTCCCAGCTGTTCTCATGTTTTGCAATCCTCTCAGAAAGATGAAGATGAAAACAGGCACAGGACAGTCTCCCTTGAAGCATAACGTTAACAGCCGGTCACACGCGGCGCTGTCAGGGGCTCCAGTGTTCCTACGACGTTAACTTTCTGTTAGCGGTGGTGCTAACCTGTTGCTATCTGCAGACTATTAGCTCTCACACACAGTACAATACACCAAACTGTGTAACAGTGTGACAAAAGTATTATAAACTAGCCAGGCTACTAACTGTCTCTGTACATTAATTAAATTTTGACTTTTCTTTCTTCTGCAGCTTGTCGCTACCTCCACAGAAAACAAACACATTCGGCACAACACCAGTGTACTCCGCTCTGCTCTGCCTGTTAGTCCTGTCCCTTAACCAGTCACAATTTTAGAAACGTGATTGCCATCTACATTGACGAATCAGATTCCTCTCCTAAAATAAACATCACAGGGGTTACATAATATAAACAGTAAATAGCATTTTTGCATTTGCTCCTTGCGAGGAGGGGCCACTGGGGTGGCCACCCATTTCTTAGGGTGGCTGTGGCCCCCTCTCCAGAGGAGTCTGACAACCGGCCGACAGAGAAACAGGGGAGCACGGATCTGAGGTCAATGAGGCAAGCCAGGGACGCAAACTAGTCCCCCAAGCTAACCAGGAAATGCCTCCCCCCGGACTCCAATGCACAAACTAACGCCCAGCAGCCCACCAGAGACCCTGCACAGAAAAAAAACAATGCATCAATATGCATCGACAATCGCCCCTCCAAACCGCAATTAGACCGACCCGTGCCGCGCTACGCCCAAGGACCCACACCCCCAGTAGCCAGGGCTCCCCGCGACTTCCCAAAGCGCAAAGGACCACAGACAGCCCCGAGGGGGAACAGCAGAGAGCTGTGCCGGGGAGCTCCCCGCTGCCAGGGAGTGATAACGCGGGAGAACCAGGGCCGACAGTCCACCAGCCCAGCCAGGGGCATCCCCCCCCCCAGAGTGCAGGCAGAGCCAGCAGCCCCCCCAGTCAACCCCCCCAAGGAAGAGGTCCAAAACCCACCCAGACAACACCGGCCATGTGCCCCAGGGATTACCGAATGCCCCCACTGAGAGAGAGGTGGCAGGGGGAAGCAGCGGGAGCCCCAGCCCTGCTGAAGAGGGCCCAGCGAGGAGAAAGGGCCAAGGGCCCCCAGGCCCAGGGACACACCACCCGCCTCAGAGATGACCACGCCATGACCCACCCCAAGTCAGGCGAGGCAGACACCAACCCCACGGCACCCCCGGCGCCCCGAGGCTCCAAGGACAGGACACAAAGCCAATGAGACCCCCAACGCTCCTTCAACCCCACTGCCTGCCTCTGTAAATGTGTTGTATTGTGTTGGATGCATGTCATGGATTGTGAAGTGTTGTATGGTGGCGTAAGGATAAGGTGCGTGGTAACTAAGGTGCAGTTAAAATTGGAGGGTAGCTGTGACACAGGCACCTCATAACTGTCAGGTAGTGGAGCCTCCCAATGTGCCCCTTCCCCTCCGGTGTCTAAGGAGTAATTAAAATTGAGGGGCAGCCAGTGGGGGAGGAAGAAGGACGAGTCCGCAATAAAGCAGCCCCACCCACCAAACACCTAGCAACCTGCCCGCCCCCCCAGATTCCCAAGGGTGTATGTAGTGAGACATGAACAAAGGGGGGAAGGTGAAGGAGGTAATAGGGAGGCCAGAATGGTCCTCCCCACTGGTCCAGATTCCTGACTGGCCCCATCATTCAGCCCCGTCCCCCATCCCCCCAAGCAAAAGGACGCCAGGTCCCTCCACCCCAGGGTTTGTAGCAAGAGCCCTTTGAGCACCAGCAGCACCCCAGAGCCAGCGGCAACCCCGCCCAGCCCCAGGAGGGGTCCAAGGGGGGCCCAGCCTCCAAGGGGGGCCCAGCCTGTATGATATTTACTACTTGTATGATTTCAGGTCATTCATTTCTGATGGGGTTGTTTACAACCATATTACAGCTGATTATTATCTTATTATTGGTATTGTTTTTTCTTTCGGACGATGAGTAACAACAAATGTTTGAAAAATTGTTTGATGTCAGCCATGATGAGGCTGACCTTTGTGGTTTTGAGTTAAATATCTCAACTCTTGGATGGATTGCCATGAAATTTTGTTCAGACATTTACTGTATGTCCCCCTCAGGATGAATTGTAATACTTTTGGTTTTCCTTTGGTGTCATGAACAGATCAAATGTTTATTTCTCAGATCCTTTATGACGAAATATCTGCACAACTAATGACCCATCAGCTTAGTATAGTAAAAGGAAAAGTTTTAATTAAATGAGATGTGTTTTGTGTCATACTGTGCAAAACAACAGTCATTAAAATGTTGCTGATTATTTTCCACACTGGTAACATTCTCTTACACTGAATTAACTGTATATGCAGGGTTTGATTTATTTAATTTTACTGCCATCTGCTGGTAATATCAAGGCTGACATTGAGGAAGATGACAATGCATGCTGCCATCTTTTCACCAAGACAACCTCGTTCTACAGAAAAAAACACGTTATCAAAATAAATTGAAAGATGCAACTATCACCTAAAAATGTACAAATAGTAACTTACTTTATGCATGCTGAATATCTAAATAAGACCGTATTCATTTTCACTCCATTAGCACTGTCTCCTGTGTAGCTATGGGTGTATCCTAAGTTTTTCTTAGGCACTTTGGCACATGTCTCAGATCAGAATTGAAATTCTCAAAACTACTTGTTCAACCTCCATATCATCTCGTCACCTGTGCACATCATAAAAGCAATTTCTCATTCTTTAGAACAAATTACAAATGCTTTGACACAAATGATTATGTACAATTGTATGCTGTTTCCTACATTTCCAATTGTGTTGGATTATATCACCATTATGTCATGCTGATCACAATGTATTATACCAGTCTCTGTTCAATAGTCTTATCCCAAGAAAACATCTAAGCATAAGTTTGTTGCATAATTCACTATATGCAAAATGGTTGAACATGTTGTCAAAATCAAAGTTAAGTAAAGTCAAACTTCATTGTCATTCTTCGCAGGTATATAGCTGAACAAAATTTTGTTTACAACACAATATTCAGTGAGCAGTGAATAATGCAAATCGCCAGTAGATATATTTGGGCTGACCCCCAAATAGTCAAAGATTTGATGCTTTTTAAGGGGCGGAGCCTGATTCGATCGTCAATCTCACAGTTGAAGTTTAGTGATTTGATGATGAGCGTTTGATATAACTACCAGTTTCTCCCAATAAGTTAATATACAGCCTATTACAATATACATTTCCATGTTAAATGCCGTAAATGAACATGTAAAAAGAATAAAACTTTCAATAAATGTTTTTAAAAGTGCGTAAATAAATCCTAAATTACAACCCTAACCCTGGGTCGTCAGTCATTGTCGGTTTGAGACAATGCGTTCTTGCTGGTCTTGCGCAGAGGTTGCCTGCATTGCTCTAAATCGCTCTAATTATTATAACAGCCAGCTTTTATCCCCCAAAACAAAAAGCTCAGAATCAGGTTAATTGTAGGTTTTAACTTAACAAGATATATTTGCACAAACATAAAATATTACATACCATAAAAGCAAAGAAAAGGCATATACTGTGACCACAACTCTACTGTACTCTAACAATGTAATGTCTAATATAATAATGAATGAGTAATCATAATATTAATAATAATAATATCATTCTATTTGTTTATTTTTTCCAAAGTTTCACAAGACCAGATTTTTCTGTACATCATCCAGATGTCTCTTGATTTAAGTTAACCTTACAAAATTACTCAGAATGTAATGACAGAATAACAGTGGTACGAACGTTAAAACTTTCTTACAGCTGTGGGTCTTTACTCTGCTGTGTTGGCTGCAGTGGTCTTCTGTCTGAGGGCTCTGTGAGCAGGGACTGAAAGGACTAAAGTTTGTTATATTGTAGTGAACAACGATGTGGATTTGTGCATTTTATATTGAATGAATGTGGAGCTACCCTAAATTCCTTTCTCCTCCCCAGAGAAGATGGGGAGGGGTCAAAGTTGCTTTCTCTAAGTGCTGTCCCGACCATAAAACTGGCACCCTTTTGATTCCGAAGCTGATAACGCGGGGCCTGACTGTTAAACTGACAAAGGGACACGAGCCAGCCATTGGCATCTCCCTGAACAGCCTATCAAAACTCACCCCACCACACATGTTTCCGTGGCAACTGACCTTATTCTTTGTTTTATTACCACATCAAAAGGATACTCCCTGTCTCACCTAAGTGTGACATGTTCCAGACACTGAACTTTGGATGACAAAGGACTGCATTCTCCAAAAGACTCAAAGCATCTAATTAAATTTAATTAAATCTTTAGTTACCTGAATATGTTTGCCTCTATTTGAGTAGTTATGTTAACTGTTGTTGCTATCTGTTGTTGATATTAGTGCTGAAAAGAAGTTACTTGTGCAATGTTTATATTTTCAGCAAGACACTCCTTCATCTAATGTAATCAATGCTTGTTCATAATACTTTCTTACAAAATCCCTTTAGAAATGATGACAAAGAAATG